GAATCTGTCTTGACTTCAAACCACTTAACTCGACGTATTGTCTGCGATAGGATACATACTATACTAGAAGTCGTCTGAGAAAGTAATCACATCCAAATCTCCACAACTTTTTGGCCAATAAATCATGATCTAAGCAATCAAAAGCCCGAGAAAAGTCGGTGTATATCTCATCCACCTGCTCTCGGCAGTCTAATGCATTCGATACGTACTGAGTGAAGCTGAGTAGGTTGGTGGCTATGGATCTACCTTTGCAAAACCCATGTTGTTTGTCAGATATACGGGCCTTAGTGTAAAATTCGATTTTGAGCATTACAATCTGCTCAAAAAGCTTGGAAAAATTATTTATGATGGCTATAGGTCGATAATTCGTTACGCAGCATCTATCACCTTTCTTAAAAACAGGGCAAAATCTGCTCAATTTTCGGAAATTCAGAATTTTTGATTATTAAATTGAAAATATGCTGAAGAGGCTGTAATAATACAGGCTTTAATACATACTTTGACTATATATGCGGGGATACCATCTGGACCAGTCGTAGTTTTTGCCTTAAATTTGTTAAAAGCTTCCATCATCTCGTCAGGACTTATTTCTGAGATGCCGAAAGAAACGCCATCCCATCCATCAGCAACTTGGGCAAGGTTAGGACTGACATCAGGAGTCGGAAGATACACACTCTCAAAATGATCGGCGAACAAATCAATCACAGTCTGCAGATCGGAAAAAATTTCACCATCGTGTTTGAGAATATTTGGTGAGACAGCACTGTTTCTGGTCTCATTAACAAGTCTCCAAAAACACTTTGGGTCGTCCTTTATTTTTTGCTCCAAAGAACTTACGTATTTTCGACGGTCCTCACGCATATGTGTTTTACAGTCCCGGCGGATTGGTTCGTCTAGATAATTTGTGGTAATGTTTTTTTTTGTTTAAGCATTCGTTTTAAGGTAGAGGAGTACCACAAAGGATATTTAGTTTTTATGTGTTTTACGTTCGTTTTTGGAACATACGCATCCAAGACACTATATAATGTTGTATAGAAAACATCACAGGAGACTTCAACTGATGATAAAGACAGCAAGTAATTTCAATCAATATTCAACATTGCGCTGTATAGGTCGGGCAGGTTAGCTCTTTTGAAGCAAACTGGGCGTCTCGATATATATCTTGAACCGTTAAAGACTGAGATGCATGTATATTTGGAGTTCCCAACAAAGCTGGATGATAATTGTCTTCGCGAACCAGAGTAAAATCGGCGGGTATCACATCTAAAAACATCGTATCTGTTGGAGAAAAGCTCACGATCAAGAACTGTTTCTTTGAGCCATGTCTCACTAAGGGCGATAATATCGAAATCTGAAGCAATAGCTGATGTGAAAAAGTCGTTAATTTTAGTATTTAAACCACGAGTATTCTGGTAGTATAGCGCACACTGTGTCCGTTGGGAGGCAGCTAGTTTTTTCTTTTGGCAATTCGAGGATGTCCGTTAAGGAATTGTAAGCGCAAGTCCTTTTCACCATTCTCAATACGAGACTTCAACTCGGTGCGCATTTTACGCTCAAACTATTGTTGTCGTGGAGTTCGATCACCATTAATATAAACATTTTTAATATTCACAGAGTTTCGCAGCTCCTTAGCACGTCTTAAGACCATATCCGCTTCCAACCTATTCGATCCAACTGTCTTTGAAGCGCAATTGAAGCGAAATCGGTGTACCAGGCACGTTTTTGAGTTGAGGCTCACCCTTCGTCCAATCATCCCTACTTCTGAACATGACCTTATATGGCTGGTCGAAATTATATTCTGTAGGTATATGATCCGTTTTAATTTCAATCAAGTAGTTTAGACGTGGGTCCCTGAGAATTTCGAGATGTCCTCCGAGGTGAAGCATAGCCGACCATGGCAATCTAATTATTGCCGTATCGGCCCAGTGAGCCATTCGAGGTTTGAAACCTCAATTCGGTTAGCCATTATGGCCTTGTTCCTTCCCGTAACGATGTGGGAATTCCAGTTTAATTTACTGTCCAGTATTACCTCTAGGTATTTGACTTCTGTTTTGAGGTTAATAGCTCTTCCATCAATGGAAAGTACTCTTCGCTTAACTTCCTTTTCCGAGTGAAAGGAACTATTTCTACTTTGTTCGAATTAATGCTAAGCCCATACTCGTAGTATAATAGTATATTATAATAAAATTTTACAATTTTAATTTTTTTTTTCAGAACTTTAATTGTTTTAAGGATTTTTGTAATAATGGGAATTACCTGGTTATTTGAATTTATTCAAACGATTCAAATAGATTTCTCCCAGCACATCATCTTGAGAATAATTGAAACTACTTTTGACATATTAAGTACTCTTCACGGTACGATACCATTGCTTTATTATAAAAAAAAATTGTACAAAAACAATGCTGTTTTTAGGTTTTCTTATTTTTTGTGTGTTTATGGCGAAAAAAACAATTTGGATCGCTGTTAAACGTAAATTTAATCTACGGTCTGATTCACGATTGAATAGTTCTACTACTCTTAGAAACATTTGAAGAAAAAGGCTTTAAAAATATGTACATGTATAATTGCTAATTGTATCTTATTTAAGCATGTTTATGTATTTGAAAATTAATTTATGGCAAAATAAAAAACTTTAATCGACCACATGCCTCCACTTACCACCGATTTCTACTTTACCTACTTTATCATCACTGTCCTAGTAAAAACAGGTTTTGGCGTAGTGGAACGTCTATCGCTGAAGATATCACGTGTGCGGTTGATTTATTATTGTAAACGTTGAAAAGGATAATAAAGAACAGCGAGCAAATTTAGATTTAATTTTAAGAAAGCTTAGGACACTACATCATCTAGAAGCAGAATTAGGAGAATTAGAACCAAATTATACGTTAGAAATAGGTAATTTAGAGGATATAGTTCAGAAGGTTATACATGAATATAAAATTAATGACAAAACGTGATTGACTAAACGTTAATGACAACGAGGTTCGAATTACAAATTTTAAACCAGTTGTCGAAGTAGTACTTTCAAATTATGATTTTTAAAATTTTCAAGAACAAAATATATCGGTGAATATCTGCGAATCTTTCAGCATTTAAAAAACTGCTCTTTGTTGCAGTTGGTGTTGCCTCGAGCGTTCAGTTGATATTTAATATATGATATATTTATATCACCTAGACTTAGTTTTAGTTTTTTCCTTTTGATTCAGTTTTGTACTATTAATATTAATTCATTATTATTATTGTAATTTTAATTGTATACAATTGGTTGTTTGTGGTACAGTGTTATTGAGTTCGACCTGTTTCTGTACCCACATGAGATAAATAAATATTTATTTTAATAACACACAGTTTTACAAGTGCCTCCTCTGGCACACGCTTGATACATTGTAGAGGACGTCCGCGTATGTTTAAATACGTAACAGACTGAAGGCCAAGACGAGGGTTTATAAAGCGGTCATTGGTCCTATTACATTACATTGCATCGACTACATATCGGGTAGGTGGACTAACCAACCTTGCACCGCGACCCTAAGGATCTATTGTACCCCGATAGATATCGTTATCAAATTTCACCGTGCAGTCCAATGCTCTTAACGAACATTAATAACTTGCTCGGCGAAAGATCATTCAGATCTTTTGAGGAGATAAACTGCGACCCAAAAATCGAGAATCTGATACGGTTAACGGCAGGGCAGTGGCATAAAACATGCTCAACCGTCTCTGCTTCCTCCGCACATAGTCGGCATTCAACATCGTCGGCTAAACCCAACAAGTTGAGGTGTGCTTTTAATCGGCAGTGCCCAGTAAAAACACCCATTAGAACTTTTATGCTACTACGGGCAAGTCCTAAAATATTCCCTGGTTTGACAGTGGCGATGTTAATAAACACCTTAGCATGTCTCATTCCAGGAGAACTGGTCCACAGTAGGCGAAGTCTCTCTTCAGCCCACAGTCCAATCCTATATTTGGCCATCGCAAATGATATACCAACTGCTGGTTCCGGCCCCACGCTTCAGCGCTGCCATCTCGTGCTAGCTTATCTGCCGCTTCATTGCCAGCAACCCCAGAGTGACCCGGGACCCAGATCAGAGAGACTCTGTTATCACAACTCAGTGTGTTTAATGTTCTCTTACAATCATTGACCAGAGCCGACAAAGTTTTCACGGCTTGCAGCGCCTGGAGAGCGGCTTGACTGTCTGAGAAAATTCGTGAAAGTTTACTGATAACTGAAGTCTGTCGGACTTTCCTATACCAGGCTACTGCTCCGTATGTGATCATAGGTCTAACCACAGTCACATAGAGCCAGTACAGTCTTTCAGGGGTAAGACCCCAATTTTTTTCCACAAAGACTGCGACAAGTCCATTCCATTCCATGACAGGGTTTTGTCTAGGATTACTCCTAGATATTTGACTTCCTTTGAGAAAGGAATTTCTTCACCTTGGATAGTTGGGCGGATTAGTCCATCCAACTTGATCTATACTTATATATCTATACCTAAATTGATCCTATACTTACCTATGGCAGTGAAAGCTGAATCGCAAATAGAAGGGATATCAGTAGAGTTAACACGGTCTAAATAAAATGCCTCCCGAGAGTTGTGCAAAGACACGACGGGACAGAGTACGGAACAGCCGTATTCGACAAGAGCTCAATGTCCAATCGATCGAGAGGATGATTGCGGATAGACAGCTGTATCGGTTTAGCCACGTAAGACGAATAGGACAGGTGAGGAAACCACGGATATACGATATACATAGAGGCCAGAGTGTAGGCAGGCGACCCATAGGGAGACTAAAAACAACATGGGAAGATACAGTGACGTGACACAGATTGCGGCCAGCCGCGTGAAGACTATGCAGAAGCTCAAGGGTGTAGCTGGGGAGAGAGAAAACTTCAGAAAATGGATTTTAGACCATCCCTCAACGTCACTACAGGGGCACGCTGGGGAAGAGAAAGAAGAACAAGAAGTATTAAAATTTTATTTAACCAATAACTATCATTCAAATTGAAAACATACAGTATAATATCGTTTTCTAAATAAAGGAATCGATTCCAGCACAAATGAAAAATTGTTAGGCCGACTATTTTGTAAAATAATTGGAACTTTTGTTGTTAAATCTGTACATTCCTCTTCAAAATAAATCGTATCAGGCATGATAGTATCCTCTTCCGTTTTTCGTGTTACTTTATATGTCACACCATCGCAAGAAATCGGTTGTGGTAAATTTGAGTACTTTCCAGTCACTAGATATAAAGAACTTAATATATTTGGACCCGCAGGAGTTTCTAAAATTATACAAAAATAATGATAACTTCTTTTTTATAAGTTATTTACTTACCAATTACTCTTGCCCAAAATTTTCCTTCTTCCGTACCGCCTAATCCAACACAAATCGTCTTTATCGATGTTAATAGCATATGATTTCTATTAGGAATCTCCAAAATAACTTTTCTAGGTCTTTCCGTAATGTGTAAAACATACTTTGGTATTGTAACAATAATTTCTTCTCTTTGTAAACTGTCCTTAATACAACTTGAAACTTTTACAATAAAATCTCCGACCGTTTCGTTACAAAAATATAACCAAATATCCAAATCGACGTACACAAAAGCCGTCATCATAAACGCAAATTTTATTTCACCATTTTCATTAAATTCAAAGTCTTTTGATTTTGGCACTAATCTTCCATATGAATATAAATCTCGGTTTTTATGGTGACGAATTGGTAATAAATCGTCTGGTGTGTGTAATGTTTCATAAGAAATTTGTAATCGATAATTCGCCCTAATTTTATAAGGTGATTTAATTAAATATTTATAATGTTTTATGTCTAAGTGATTTTGTTGTATTTTTATTGTCGTTGTTGGGTAAGCTAAATCGGGAGTACCAATTAAAGAGATTGATTTATTTGTTACATATCGATAACCAGAACATTCTCCGCTCAAAATTAACGTAGATTTAATTTCCTTTGCAAATTTAGCAAAATAAGTTATTGCTAAAGTTACTTTATTATTCGCTTTAATTTCGAAAAAGTTTATCGTTGTGCTAAAACATTCTAAATCATTGTTGATAAATATTATTTTATAAGCAATCGGAAATGGGTTGTTGTTCTCTAATTCAATTTTATTCGTAATGTTTGTAGATAAACCAGTTTTTAATGTGATTGATTCGATTGGGTACATGTTTGGAAGGATATCAAATAAATAAACGGAAAACATAAGTAATCTTATTGAATTCCCTTTAACAATTTCTTCTGGTTTTGTAGTGAATGAATAATTTATCATTTCCAAACTTTGTATGATTCTTGATACGTTATGATACATCTCTTCGTATCTTTTTGGCGTATAAAATAAATCTTGTAACAATACTTTTAAATACGGGCAATAAGTGATTAGAACAACACCAAACACTAAACCATCACACAAAGAATTATTGTACAAATCCACAGATGTTGCATTTAACGTAACATTTTCCCAAATACTGTTTCTATTTTCGTTATAATGAAATTGTAACCAATTCATTATCAAAGATTCCGATTCACTGTATATAGCTGGTTGGATTGGAACATTTTCTTGTGAAAAATAATCCGAAAGTGGGGTATTTTTAAAATTATCGCATTTGCTCATTATGCAATGGCTCTGGATTACTTTCTTTAAATATAAACATTTGTAAAGTTGTAAAGTGAAATCCAACCAAGATTGGGCTCTCAATCGTGAAAAAATTTTATAATGTAACATCGTTGAACTTAATGGTAAAGGATATTCCTTAAAATTAAAAATTTTTTCGTAATACATTTTCGCACCACCATAATAAAATAAATGCTCAGGTCTTAAATGCATTAAAGCTCCACCTTCATTATTAATCTTGTTAATTATAGTTTTATAAATACGGTATAAATACTTTAATGTATCAGTAATACTTGAAAAATTAGACCTATAAAATCATTTAAACAATTAACTTGAAATTGTAATAATTATTTTTTTTTGCATACTTTTTTTTAGTTAAAGACTGTACAATCTCGGGTCCCATTATATTTCCAATTATATGTAAAATTGGAATCCCAGACAATTTTGTGCGTCGTTTTAATTCGAGAGAAGAAGGTGGTTGTAAATTCGGAGAAGCAATAGTACTTTTTATTTGATAAGTGTCGGCACAGAAAATAACTTGTGTGTTTAACCAGCATTCCGCTGATGCAATAACTTGCTCCATGAAGTTGAACGAGGGATGAGTTGGTTCGGGATATAAAGGATAACAGGAAAAACAATTTCGAAGAGAACGCTGGAAAAAACAATGTAATTATTGGGTTAAAACGATTTTTTTCAGTCAATCCTATACCTATATGGTTACAGTTTTGGAGAAACAACAAGAGTGGATAGACATGTTGTCACTTGAGCTATCGTCTTAACTTATTTTTAGATGTTTTATTACTCACCAATTAAACAATTACTAGAGGTTTACACCTCTAAAAATTTGTGACACCACTACAAAATTCATGAGCAAAACGGAAAGATTGCTTAGTGGCACACGACCCAATTGGGAAAAATGTAAACGTGGAAGACCTAACCGAATTGACTGGCTATGCAATCGGCGGAATCAAAAAACATAGTTGCTATCTAGTAATGGCGGCCAGTAGCGTCGATTTTTGTGTTATGTGTAAAAACAAGCAAGTTAATCAAAATGAAAAAATAATAAATGCTTTGGCGACTGCAATAACTTTACTCATAGTGTGTGTAGTACATTTAAGACAACAGAAATTAAGATTCTGGACTCTAATACCAATAATATCAGATGGTTTTGTGATGAGTGTGTATTGAAAAAGAAGAACACAGTTAATGATTTGTTTGAAAAGGTTAGTGAACTCATAGAATTGGTTAAAAAACAATCCGAAAAGATTAATGAACAGAATAATATAATTTATAACCTACAATCTTCGCCTGCGAAAGGTTCGAGGGTCCAAGAAGAAAATTAATCTGCGGCCTCTTAGCACAAAAATGCCAGTTACCAATAAACTTGATATCAATCTTGGCCAAGCAGTCGTTCGAAAGCTATGTAATGCTATACCAATATGTAAAGGATACTGGAATTCAGCTGTGATACAAAACTGTGATGTGTAACCTCTAAAATATTAACCTGTAAATACAAGTTAAGAATTTATCCTAGAGAAACTATGCAAGTCTGTGATAAATGGCTTTAAATAAAGCTTTATAGCTATAGTGATATTGAAATATTGATTAATAGATAAATGTTTAGCAAAATAAGATAAGGTAAATAAAAAGAGAGCTGCGATGAGTCCCACTTAAAACTGCCACCAAATCCTAAAAGATACCATCAAGATTCCTTGTTCTAATCCAACCTAATACCGAGGGCTCTCCTGGATTTTGTTTATTTTTCCTGCTTAAGCCGAGTCACTGGGCCCCTGGCTCGCAGAAGAAACCTAAGGTCAATCCATCCATTACTGTTTGTAATTTTCTTTTAAATAATAATACCACGGGGCAGAGAAAATTTGAAACGAGCCAAAGTTCCTGAAATCCAACCATTGCAAGAGAAAATTAAATAAATAAAGAAGAAAAATAATGAATGGTACATAAAAACCAAGGAATAATAAGTATGGAAAGGAACGAATAAAGAATTGAAAGACATAGATTGACCTAGTGACTGGAGTATGAGATGAACGAATGTTCGAACTCCAACCGACACCTGTTTGACAACCAACCAACCAACCATAACCTACAAACAAAACCAATAAAGACTACGACTAAATACAGGAACCTGTACGAAAACAAGCTTCCAATAACAATAAGAAACATGTAATAGCACCAGATGTTACTGCAAAGGAGCTTCGTTCTCAAAACAAACGGAATACTGAACATCTGGACAAGAACAAGGACAGACACAAAACAACACCTTTTAAAGGAAATACAAATACAAGTTTAAAAGACGAGGTCGATAACCTAATATCTAAAAAAACATACGAAGATGAAATGAAAAAGAGAAAAACGGTTACAATTAGAGGTAAAAGAATTGGCACATCTTTATCTGCAGCAGACAATAAGAGGTGGGTTTTTATTTCGCAACTTGTGAAGGAAACGACGGAGACCAATGTAACACAGTACTTATCAGAAAATAACATTAGTATGTATAATCAACTGTGAAAAATTAGACATAAAGACGACTACCATAGCGGCATTCAAAATAAGTGTGTATGAAGATACATATCAGAAATTGTTTAACCCGGAGTTGTGGCCAAGGAATGTTATTACTCGTCCGTATAGGCTGCGAAATTTTACGAAACATCGTCTGAATCAGGCGAACACGTAATAGTAAAGAGATCTGTAACGGTCAATAGAAAATGTTTTTCAGTAATTTATCAAAATGAACAAATTATTTTGCGGTATTTTTAAAAAGCTTAAGGTGATCTATAGAAATAGTAGCATTAACCGAACACTGGATGAAAAATTGTGAAGACTTCCATATCGATGGCTACGATCGGGCGTCGTGTTTCAGTTTTCAGTAGAAGTCAACGCCAACATGGAGGCTCATGTATTTTAATCAAAAACGGACTCGAACACGAAGAACTGATTCCCTTGAAAAATCTTAGCAAGGAATTGGTTTTTGAATGCAGTGCTATAAAAATCGTGTCAATTAAATTAGTGGTAATCTGTATATACAGATGGCCATTGAGTGATGTAAATGAGTTTTTTGACTTGCTGGATATGATGTTGTATCATGCGACAATAGGATTAACTTACTCTGTTCTTATATGTGGAGACTTAAATATAAATCTGGCAGAAACTACAACTCAATCCAGAAAGCTAATAGAAACGATGATCAAATACAATTTTTATCCTACAATTAAGGAACCAACCAGAGTGGCTAAGAAATCGAGAACTGTAATCGATAATATCTTTACGAATATTGAGGATTATAAAACAGAAGTCATTGACTCGGCTCTATCTGATCACAGGGCTTTGATGTTCGAGTACACTCCAGTCGCGACAATGGGTAAAGAAAGACAAATGAAAATAAAACATAAAATAATTAATAGAAACAGTATGGAAGAAATAAAAAATGAATTATGTCTTGTGAATTGGTCAGTTATCACGGACATTGATCAACCGGACGAATGTTATGATCAATTTTGTGACATATTAACATCTATTGTCACTAAGTGTTGTAAAGAGAAGGTTGTTGTATTAAACAATAATAAAAAAGGTAACGATTGGATAACAGAAGAAATAAAGGAAAAATCGGCAATAAAAAGACAACTTTATCAAGGAATTGTAAGTAATAGAATAGAAAAACATTTCTATAAGTCCTTTAGTACAGACTTAAAAAATTTGATTAATGACACAAAAAAAACAATTTTATTGCAATAAAATTAATGACTCGCACAATAAAATGAAAACCATGTGGAATTTCGTAAACGAAGTAAGAGGGAAAACAACACAAAGACACTTTAATGTGGGAACATTTATGAATGATTTTGACAGTGAAGTGGACGTATTGAATGTTATCAATAAGCATTTTGTATCAATTAATGAAAGTGATATTGATAAAAAGAGGCAAAAAGTACAACTAATGTCTAAGGCGACACATTCGTCGTTTGCTATATATTTGACCAACAGTGAGGAGGTAGAATACACTATTAAGGGTCTTAACAATACAAAAGCTGTAGGAGTGGACGGTTTTCCTGTTCGAGTACTAAAGTATTGTGCGAATTATTTGTCCACGCCCCTTGCGCAATAAATATTTCTTTTACAAAGGGAATATTTCCTAAGAATTTAAAGCTGACGATCATTAAACCGATGTTCAAGAAAAATGCAGTAAATGATGTTTCAAATTACAGACCTATTGCACTTATATCAAATATTGCTAAAATTATTGAGAAGATGGTTTTTAATAGGGTAATGAATTATCTAACTAAACATAAATTGCTAAATAACTCACAAAATGGTTACATTAAGGGAAGAACCACAACAAAAGCGATATTCCAACTTATTGAAAATATTATAGAAAACTTAAATGGGAAAGATATAACATGCTGCTTATTTATGGATTTAACTAGGGCATTTGACTGCGTACATCATGAAACATTGATCGCTAAACTGGAGAATATGGATATCAGGGGAACACCTTTGGACTTTTTTGTTTCATATTTGTCTGAGAGATATCAGTGTGTTGCATCGCGGGATGACCATGGTAAAGAAATTAGATCGGAGTGGACGAAGGTTAAGAGTGGTGTGCCTCAGGGCTCGATATTAGGCCCCCCTGTTATTTCTTGTATATATCAATGAGCTACCGAAGATAACTGACGACCTGCTTATTCTCTTTGCTGATGATTCCACGTTGGTAGTGAGTGAAAAAGAGCGGGAGACAGTAATTCATTCATTGAAAAATAATCTATGTAAACTAAGTGCGTGGTTTGAAGACAATAATCTGACAATGAACATAGGTAAAACTAATACTCTGACATTTGGAAGTGATCCGATTCACATCGCGTTGGAAAAGGAAAGCTTGTTTTTCCGAAGGAAGCTCGGACTGAAGATCGACGTGGGTCTCTCATGGAAATTGCATATAGAGGAGCTATCTTCAAAATTGTCGGGCATATGTTTTGCTCTCAAATGTTTCTCGCGTGATATGGGGGTACACTCGTCATTGTGCGTCTATTACGCGTGTGTGAAGACTAGAATGCGCTACGGTGTCATTTTTTGGGGCAACTTGGTTGAGGCCAAGCGTGTATTTATCGTCCAAAAATCCTGTGTAAGAGCGGTACTGGGTATGAGTCCACGAGACAGTTGTAAATCTGCATTTAAACAATACAAAATTTTAACTTTGTGGGCGTTATATGTGCTAGAATGTGTAATTTTTGTAAAAACTTATTTAGTGAATTCTTTTTAAGATACGAAATGATTCATTCACACCAAACGAGAGGAATAAAGAAAGTACCTTTTGTGCCGCCATACACTAACAGCGCAAGGGTGCACAATAGTGTTCTTTTCTCTTGCATCCGAATTTATAACAACTTGGATCTTAGTGTTAAGAAACTACCATTACACCAATTGAAAAGGAAACTGAAGGGGTACTTGCTTGAGAAAACTTTGTATAACTTAGATGATTTTTTTAAAGAGAAAGTAGTATTATGATTTTGACTGAATTATTGTATTTGACTTGTTCCACACCTTTTGGTATTATGTGAATTAATGAAAGATTATTATTATTATTATTACTAATAGCGACAACATCATTTCCTTTAACAACGAAGGTTTTTTAATCAAATG